AAAACATGTTATATAATTTTTACGTGAGCTAACTTAGATTATATAGGGTGAATTGTGAATTAAACAAATATAAGTATTTACTCTGAATAAACAGTCCTAAATTAATTGTAAAAAAAGAAAAAATAATTATTAATTATGTCCATAATCGTCATTATATTTGGGTACAAATTAGAGTGAATTTTCAAACTATATGTTATTACCTATTCTATAATGTGACGGACGTACTCTCTTGTCATAGTATAGGTAATACTATTTATTTGCCTTCGAAGTTCTTGCGGTACACCGTATTTTAATGTAGATATTGTGCCTAATTTCCAAAAATAAAGGTTTATCGTACCTGTCCACAGACAACTAATCCTTCTAGTTGGGAAAGTAGGATATATAAAAGTTAAGCAAGCCAAGGTCGGTTTAGTTCATTGTACCAGTTCATCACCTGACGAAGCTACTGTGTTAGCGAAACATTGTAGAAATCTTATCGTTCGTGAAGTTTTTACATTTGCCATGAACTTCCATCAAGTAAAGGCCGAATCAATCCACAACTTTTCGTTACTATCATGATATTTTCGCCGAGCTGAATTGATTGTTAATGTTGAACGTTTGCCACTCACACCCATTTACACGTATTCACAGTGTTGTCACTTTGTTGATCATAACTCCATCCATCCATCCATCCATTGTGATTGTCCCCTGAGGTTACTCGTTATGTAACCATAGTAGCTCCATCTGATTGTGCCATGTGTGTTGATTTTTGCTCTGTCTCTGTCTTAGCTTGCACGGAGCATGATAGTGAGTATATGTCATATGTCATCATTCTGAGGACGGTCTATGCTTGCCACAGAAACTTGTGGTGAAAGTTCAATAGTCATAAAGAAGCTCAATAATACTATCCTTCCTTTTTAGAAGCGTCTAGCTATAGTCCAGTGCTGAAGCCTTTGAAAACGGTAAAATGTGAAGGAAAATCATAGTACGATGAAACTCATTGAAAAAGGAAAAGTATATAACAAAGATGAAAGGGAAAATAAATTACGGGCGATCCGAGGTCGAGAAGTGGTGGAGGAAGAGTTTTCAAGGGTAAAACACGGTTTATCTTGATTTCCAGCAAAACTACGAGCCCTATGGAAAAAATTTGAATAGCAAAGTTGTAGGTAATGAAGAGACCTACAACTTTTGTGATCACACTTTTTTCACATAACCTCAAAATTTATGTGAAGAATTCAAATAATCGAGTTTTTGGGTTTTAATTTTCATCTTATGCAAACAGAAATTTTTTTTCACGAAATTTACTCAAAACTTACCTTTCCATGTCCTGAAGACAATGCAATTTTTTTGATTTGGAATATTTATTTTTTCACCTTATATTGTCTTAATATCGAATAAACATCCTAATTATCGCTTTTGGGTGTATGATAAATTGACATTCATCAATAAAAAATTCCCGCGTCAAAATATTAGCTTTTTAAAAAACTCAGGGCGTTTTCTGTTCGTTGAAATCTCTTCTTTCTGATAATGTAAGAAAATATATACATTACTATGGTAAATGTTCTCATAAAATGTAAAGAAAGGAAAAAAACTCGAATCCGAATTTTTTTTAATCACTATGTACAATTTTTAGTTATTTAGTGAAATGCACACTTCAATTACGTGACGTCACCCAGAAAACATGATATTTTTTCCTTCTCAATATTGAGAAACTGCGATACTGCGAGAAAAGCGATAGCTTAGAAGTCTTTGTATCTGGTTTCCACCTTGGTGACTGTGGTTCAATCCCTGCGAGCCGTCAATTTGTTTTTTCACTCAATTAATTTCTCAAAAATTTACTTTTCAGGAAAAATGTTCATTAAGAACAAGTAAGGTTGAAAGTACTCTCCTTTTTCATGCAGAAGAGATATTTTTCTTCCTCATATTACCTGGTCTAGCTAGACGCTTGTTCCTTTCTCCAATGAAAAACATCCATGAATATTATAAATTTGGAAGGGATGCACGGAAGATAATACACATAGATTCAGAATCAATTACACCTGACGAAAAACCTAATTCTCCACCCTATAATGTATGAGCGAAAGCTGGAAATCGTGATCAGAATGCTGATACTATTTTCCACCACATTTTTCCTATGGAGCAGCAACGTCCTCAGCTTACTTTAGTTTAATTGATGTATCCGGAAATACCGCACCATGTTTGCAAGTCTGGATATCCGGTTTAGGCCAGGATAACAGGATATTAGCTAGGCGCCGAATCAAATTTCTTGCTGATTGTGTTGATTACAATATCTCTCAGAGATTATATTTTGTAATTGAATCTTGTATAGGCTTCTAGCTCGAGGTTTCAGTTACGCCTTTCCATATAGAAGTGTGTGATTTCCTGATCTGAGATTGTGTTGTGAAAATATTATTTCAATTAGGTAGGCATCGAAGCAAATGGAAAATGCGTATGCTATAATCGATAAAAACTGTTCAACACTCCAGACACTGAATCGAACATTTTCGATTAAACTTGATTGACGGTCAACTTCTGACATCAATGTCTTTTTAATACCTGGAATTTCTTTCTAGCTCATACAACTAAGAACGGCTGTCAAATCTATCATTCTTCCAACTTTGATAGTTAATATCTTCCGTTGACGAAAAGTTATCATGTTGCGGTTTTCGTTGGTCTGTTGAGATTCAGTTTCTCTATTACATCGTGTAATGATGTGCATAGCATTAAATTTATTTTCTCTCAAACTTGTATTATTATTCGTTGCTGAGATATGGCCGACAGACGTTTTTAGTTGTTCACTCGGTACATATATTTGAAATCAGGAGGAAGAGCTTTACCATTTGAAAAAATAAAATACAGGGTGTTCCATACAGTTGATTTTAGGTTAAACGATGCATTTTCTAGTAGAGTATAAAAAGTACTATTAACCGAGAAAGCTATTGAGTAAAACATAAACAATCACCCTGTACTTCCCATCAGAGCGATCATTGATGAAAAAAAACTGGTCTAACTACCCGCCTCAAATATTTCCGCTGACTTTGCAGGGCGGTACTTGCCATGAGAGCAATATCGACATACAAAAAAATTGAGTCTAATTTTTCGCCTCAAATATTCCTGCTGATTTCACAGAACAGTACTTGCCATTAGAGCAATCAAAAAACAAAAAAATTAGTCTGATTTCTTGCCTCAAATATTCCTGCTGATTCTGCAGAACGATACTTTACTTGCCGCTAGAACAATCGTTGAACAAAAAAATCCAGTCTAACTACCCGCCTTAAATATTCCCACTGACTTTGCAGGTTGGTACTTGACTAAAGTCTCGAGATCATACCCGTGTGTTCACCGAACACGCCCGATCGTTCCCTAAGCGGTGGGGAAACGTAAACGGGCAGCAGTAACTACGTTATGAATATTGGCGCGTGCCTGAATTATTTTGGAGTCAAATTTGTCAATTTAATGTATGTACTTCGAAACGGAACACTAGTAGTTCAGTAGTTGTGCCTTCTTGTTTTACACATATATTATAGGTAGACATCAAAACAATAAACATAGTGCTCTCGCCATCGGTATTTGCTGAACTTCGCTATGGGAAAAATGTTGAATAACTATATTAGGATGAAGAATGATCTATACAGGGTGTATCTAAATAACACCGAAATAATTCAAGGGATAATTCCTTGTGATATAATATGATGAATAAAAGTCATATAAACATGTGTCCTAAACTTGCTTCGTTTTCGAGGTACAGGGTTACGTTCTGATTTCGAATCCGAAGTGATTTTCAACTTATCTTGCCTCCTAATATCATTTTCCGGAAATGTTGGTGGGTCCATGACCAGAACAGTGTTTTTCACTGAAGATTACCTCACTTTGGTCATAGTTTTGGTATATATCTATCGCTCCTTAAAATTGAACAGTTACGTTAGATATACGGGTTGATATTCCATTATAGAAGTGACATATGCACATTGTTTACATTTTTAAATACATCCAGTGGGATTGAATTTTATTTTATGTTGAATATTAGAGTGTGTTTTTTTATGTGATATATTTGTTTTGTTTATTTCAAATAAATATCTTTTTTTAGTAGGCATACTAGTACTTCTTTTATATAATTCTGAAATCTGATCCACCCTGTATTTGTTTCAATTAAATGGCATCAGTAGATAGTAAATAGAATGTTAGGACACATGTAAGCCATTTTGACAAATCAATATAGGTATTGTATAGTTTCGATTAAAAAAAAATCTCGATTTTTCACATTCTACGTATAGGTATACCTTGAGCTTGATCAACGAAATCATAGCTCAATTAGAAGAATCGAAAAATGTAATAAAATATAAGGTGTTCCATTTTGAATAACAAAGCTGCTACTACTATACTACTAAGTACTACATAACTACTAATAATAATTTCTAGTGAAGCAGATGAACATTATCGAAAATAATTTGAATAAAACGAGCGTCCTCGCCAACAAAACATAAGCATATAATATGAACATATAGTTTCATGATTTTCGATGAGTGGTTCGCTATTTACATGTAGGACTCGTCGTGACATAGCGAATTATTGCAAATCAAATCATCGCTTTCATTATCTGATAGGTCGCAGTAGATCACTTGATGCCTATCAAATGTTTCTTATTTATTCGAAAAAAAAAATGTTGAAATGTGATCAAGAAAACTGTTGGTGGCCCACCCCGTACTACAAAAACAAAGACAGCATGAGAGAAGCTGCCTGCCCACTCATTGTATCATGACTGCCTGCTTACGTCTCGGTCTCCCCACCGCTTTGGTAACGATCGAGCGTGTTCGGTGAACACACGGGTATGATCTCGAGACTCTTGTTGGTACTTGCGATTAAAGCAATCAAAAAACAAAAAAATCTCGTCTAATTTCTCGCCTCAAATATTCCTGCTGATTTTACAGAACGGGACTTTCCATCAGACTGATTAGAGCAATCATAAAACAAAAAAATTGAGTCCAATTTCCTGCCTCAAATATTCCTGCTGATTCTACTAGGGCAATCGTTGAACAAGAAAATCGAGTCCAACTACCCGCCTCAAATATTCCCGCTGATTTTGCAGGGCGGGTCGATGCCCAACACCAGCAGCAGCGTGCCCTTCCTGCTGAGCAGCAGCATGCAGTCGATCCGCTCGCGCCGCCCTTCAGCCGCCCTGGGCGGGTCTCAGGGCAGCCAGGGCCTGCTGCAGCAGCTCGGCTCAGGCATGGTAAGACTCACCTCTTCCCATCAACCGATCGACGGCAGATCGTCCTTCTCTAGTAGCACTGTTAGGAAATGCCCCTCATTGAATATAACGTTCAGCTGAACGTACGTACGTATTTGTTTGCAGGATAATAACGTTCTCTATATTTCTCATGGTCTCTATGATCTCTGTGCTCGGACACACATCATGTACGAGAGATGGTAACCAAAACCATGTTTCATAGCAGCCCGGCTAAAACCGTGTGGAATCGATAGATTCACAGATAACGAGATGACCAATGGTCATGTCACTGTGACGTACCCAGACAAAGACGTCACACACCAATTTCTGACGTCACTAAGACGTACTATCTATGACGTGATGATCACGTCATCAATACGGGACTGTTGGATGAACGAGTCTTTGGAAAGAGATGTTCTGCAAGTCTCCAAAGTGACCACGAAGGGATGCGAAGCCTCAACTCGACGGGTCAATCTCGCGGGGACTGCCAAGGGAGGAACAATTGTTGATATGTTAGAAGAGCATCGTCCATGAAAATATCTATAAAATAGAGCCAAATTAGTCCAGTCATTATATCCATATAACGGACCGTACCCGTGAATAATTTTTCAGTGGTTTTTTTTTTCATAGGTGTCTCGGGGGGGTCACTGGGAGTGTGAATTCAAAATGGCGACCAATTCAAGCTTTTGCGTATGTTCGAAAACTGTTTTTTGTTTTGTTTAAAAATGGTTTTTCTTGAATAACTCGGTCATTTTTGATTCTACAGAAAAAGTTTGGGGACAAAAATTGTAGTAAATTTGGTTCTCTACAAGTTTGGTCCCGACAATTTTTCTGATAGGATCGATATTTTGTAAATTAAACCTGAAAAAAGCGACAAATTCGTAATATTTTGATCATCTCGTTTATTTTCAACTTTACGGCATAAATGAACAAAAAAAAACTTGAAGAGAATCAAATTTTGTCTTCACCTGTTTTTCCGAAAATCGATATTTTCGGAATTAAACCTAATTACACTCCCAGTGACCCCCCCGAGACACCTATGAAAAAAGAAACCACTAAAAAATTATTCACGGGTCAAAGTCTATAATGACTGGACTAAATCGCCAACTTTTCTACATTGTTCCAGAGAAGTGAGTGAGTTTGTGAGCGAGGCATCACCCACGAGACGAATTGCCCTTTTTTGGAGAGAATCCAACAGTTTCAGGGTATATTTGGGTGCTTCACTCCAAATTTGGGAACAGTATGCCAGGACAGCTGATTGGAAGTGAATTAGTTCCTGGCCCGAAACAGAAAACCAAGTTTTTGGGATGCACTTTTAGCAATTGATCTCACGTGATTTTCTCAAGAAACGTTAGGTTAGGTTATTGCTTCGAGATATCAAGTGCCACGGCTAAGGTTTCACCATATTTTTCAATAGATTGCTGCCATATATGTGAGACGTAAGCGAGCAGGTCACCAGTTGATCTCTGATGACGGAAGCCATATTGCCTATCGTTGATAATACCAGAATGTTCCAGGTATTTCATGAGCTCGATGTTGATAGCTTTCTCCATGATCTTTGAAATAATAGATAGCAGTGCGATCGGTCTGTAGTTGCTAGGTAGGGTCTTTTTGCCTTTTTAAGGAACTGGTTGTATTCTTGCAATTCTCCAGTTTGACGGGAATATCCCCAATTTGTAAGAGTAGTTGAACAACTTGCAGAGAAAAGGTGTTAGTTCAGGAGCACATTTCTTGAGAACAATGGGTGAGATTCCGTCGGAGCAAAAAGCTTTGTTGGTGTTGAGACCCAATAAAATCTTCCTTATAGTACGTTGGCGAAAGGTGATCTCGGGCATATGACTGTCAATTGCATAGGTATTTTTGGTACAATCTCGGTGTCTGAAAACTGTGTCATTGTTATCTTAGGGTTATTATTCAACTATATTTCAAAAATCAGACGGGGTTGCTATACAACACTCAGGTCAGATTTGTTAACTTTTTTTGAAATGCGCTGAGATCAGACACTACGCGCAAAATGTCAGGAAATAGGATTTTTGGGTACTATACAGGGTCATATCTATCGATTCCATGCGGTTTCAGCGAACGCTATGAGACAAAAATCTTGGTCGCCATCTCTACTACTATCACGTACTCTTGCTTATATTCACGAACACTTGACATGGACGTCTAGCTGCATCTTTTCCATCGGTGACTCTCTGAATTCTTACACGACGATATCTCAGTACATCAAGTCTTTCTCCGTACAAAAAAAATCCAAGATGAATGGTCCTGGTTCGTGACCAACCTCTGGGTACCGTAATACCGCTTAATTTTTATGTACTTGTGCGTTTCTTTTATTTACATAACAATGTATCAGGTTATTCATATAGGGTGAGGACTTTAACTGGAATAAACTCGCTACTGGGGGAGTGAATGATTTCTCTGAAAATTCGCGAGACACGTCAACGTTTAAATATATTTACCTACATTTGGCGAGCAATATAGAGATTACAACCCTTCAGGGGTAGCTGGAATCAACCCCAACATGCTTTTTTCAAATGCAATCCTATGGCTTGCGACCCCTCATTGGATTGTTAAAAGAGGAATCCAGCGTTCCAATCATATTTCAGTTTGCAGTACGTTTGGGGGACGCGTAAAATCGAAATATAATTTCGAAGTCAAATATATTTTCAAAGTATTTTCATCAAAGTTTAGGGTTATATTTGAAAAAAGCATGTTGAGGGTGGTTTCAGCTACTCCTGGAGGTGGTATCTACTATCTATTCTCGATATTGCTTGCAAATAGTTATTTAACCAACTAGTGTATTAATGAGGGCGATTAAGGATCGAGATATTTCAACGTGCGAGCGAAGCGAGCGCGTTAATGTTCGAGATCATTAATCGCCTTTTAAAATACAAGTTGTTACAAATTTTTTCCATCGACTATATTTCTCATTTCTCCTGCAATGAAGAAACTTGGTTCGCGAATTCATCATTCATCTGGAAACTGCTAAGAATCACTGACATTAGTGACATTTGACATTTGTCGAAATGATCAACATAGAAAATAAATTCCTTGTGTTAGAAAACAGGGATTAAAATCGTGTCAGAAACTTGGAAAGGCGAATCCGTTAACAGAAAATCTTCGATGAAATCCATATTTTCGATTTAAATGCAGATTCCGTAAGTTATAGCATAAACAATGAATGCACGCGGTGTATGTTTGGTTGCCTATAAAACAATCGTGCATTAATAGACAAATCGTTCATTAATAGGGGTCATTAATGAACGATTTCATATACATTAAACTTAGTCGTTAATACGAGGTCGACGGAAAAGGAAGGTAAATACATTAAATCGTTGACGTATATACCAAGAATTCTTAGAAAAATTATTCTTCTCCCTGCTTACGAATATATTCCAGTTGAGGTCCCCACACTGTATACATGTATTGTATTGTACTGTAATTTTTGATGCGGCTTGGATCCCTGCGAGGGCCAACTTTTTTCTTCTTCAGTAATTTTCCGAAAAATATAGTTTGGATTATGTTAGGTTAATTATTATACTTTTCTCTTACTGGTACGTCTTCGGAACTCAGAGAGCCACCGGTCAAAATGGTATAGCTAGACGCTTGTGTCAATTCTGGATTGTTTATTTCCCAGAGAATTTCATTATTTTCTGGGAAATTCACAAAAATATACAGACTAATCCACGGTGGATGACACATTGGACGTTCCTGGTGAACCATCAGACATCGGATGTCTTTGAAAATTTGATGGAGCGCATAATCGGACATTCTCTACCAACTAAAATATTTTCGACAACGCGGTGTTGCCTCTTCTATTAGAAAGTAGTAGCAACTTTGATATTTCATATGGAACACCCTGTATTCCATTGCATTTTTAGATTCTTCCTGAAGAACTGATTTCATCAATGCATCACACTTTAGGTATAGCGGGGATGATTACTGTTTAAAACCGATATTTTTCAAGTTCAGGACTTTTTTGTGTCGAAACTGTTCATTATCGGTCCGAACCGTCTTTTATATCCCTATATTAACTTTTTATTAACCATCTACTGACATTTAATTGGAACAAATTCAGAGTGGTTCAAGATTCAGAACTCAGATCACCCTGTGATAATGAATAGTTTCGACACAAAAAATCCTGAAGTTGAAAAAATCTCGATTTTGAACATCCTATATTTCTGTAATCATTCGAGTGTGATGCATTGATGAAATCAGTTCTTCATGGAGAATCTAAAAATGCAATGAAATATCAAAGTCGCTACTACTTTTTAATAAAAGAGGCAACACCACATTGTCGAAAATATTATAGTTGGGAAGAGTATGTCCGAATATGCTCTCCATTAAATTTTCAGAATGATCCTATGACTTTGTTCACCAGAGACGTCTAATATGCCATCCACCGTGAATCACCATGTGGTGCAACTTTTTTAAACATCACTGTATAACAAATGGAGGCAAACATTATAAACATCCCCGAAGATAACTGCTCCTAACAAGAAAAAAAATCATCAAATTAACCGAACCTTGTAGCATTGCCTTCTGAGATTTCTGAGGTATTCAGGCACCTCTAAAAAAATTCTTCAACAGTGAAAAATAGCGAAATAATATCAAATTTGGAAATATCTTTGTGTCAGTAACTCTGTGATTGTTTTTTGTATCCCATCAGTTCTAGTTTTATCTACTGTGTTTATAATTTCTGCTGAAATTGTTACACTCCATACACCTAACAGATGCTTTGAGTCATATGCAACAGACTGAGATGGAATGAATTTGTGGTATTTGCATTCATGGCATGTCAAAATATACCAATTCTCAATTCTCCACGAAGAAAGGCCCAGCTACATGAAGATTCTGAAAACTAGCCTATGGTGTCTAAAAGTTAAGATGGAACTATTGTCGAGTTTCTTCAAATTCTATGAATTCCTAGTATAAGTTTGACCATAATCAAGGGTTTGACTGAAAAGCGTAATATATCCTCTTAGCCTGTTGCCCGTGATTCAAGGTTAGCTGTCTGTTTCTCCATGAGAGAGAGTTCTCTTCGAGACCAATACAATACACCACATAACAAATCACCATCAACAGTTCATTTGTTTTGT